GATCAGGTCACAGGCACGATTTAGTCCGCTTGTTTTTCCACTGAGAAACGCAGGCTATCTAGATTCATCGGTATGAGACGTGCATTAAATATGGGGCTGCAGCAGCCAGCTGAAGGGCCCTGTGCTTCTCTTTATTTGGGTCGCACGACAACAACATTTAAGTTCAGCCTTGTCTCTCCTGCGGTGCTGTACCCTGCTTGCTTGGCCCTTTCACCAAACGGGGGGTCGGCAGGTTCCGCCACCTCCGCACATTCAACCGACTCGAGGCGTCACTACATAAAATCTCTTCGGTAAAGCTTACTTCCCTAACCGATCGCGTCTATGTACAGCTTTGTGAACATCCTTTTTTTCCCTCACTTTTTGTATCCCCACGCACTGGTGCCGGTGCTTGTCCTACTCCGTAACTTCGTTTAGTGTTGCCTTGAGGGCACTCAGGCACAAAAAAGGGGCAAAGAATAGCTGTCGCAAAGTGCAGAATTGTGTAGACGCCATTATTCCACGATAGCGAAGTGAGCTGTTGCCATCTGAGTAGCGGCGAGGGAAAAAGCGCGAATTCGGTGAATGTCATTTGGTTGTCGCACAACTCTCGTGGAACTGGAAGCATAGGTCACTGTGTGCGGCTGCCTAATTTTCATTAACATTTGCGGAGGCACATTTCAACACCAGTGAACCGAGTAAATATAACGCTGCTACCGTTGAAGGGTCAAAAGCCTGATCATTCTAATTTACCTCTAACTGTTCCGCTGGCGCAACAACTATCCGATCATATGTCAAAACACGGTTCCTGTTTTCGACGTTACGAAATAGTGCCCATTGGAATAATAGTAACCGTTCTTCGACATTCCCGAGGCGTACATTGATTTCCCCTTCTCCTAAACACGTTGCACATATAAAATTGTTTGCTATACATTATCCGTGTGCTGAACTGGATATTTCCAATGTGCCCGCTCTCAAATAAACTCCTTCCGAAGCAGCCCTCGTCAACTAATTTTGTCAAGGTAGGCTTTGCTTAGGGGCAATCCTGTGCCGTATTCAGTGCGTTCTGCCAACCGTTCTGATCTGTTTGGCATTTGTTTGCATGCAGACCATGCTAGACTGACTGGCAAAATTGTCAGGCTACTACCCGAAGATATGCTCTCATTACGTTGGAGTATGCAAGAAGAGTTACGATAACGCGGTAGACCCCTAGTAATACTACAACCTGTATTCTGCCTTGGCGAGTCGGAAGGTGAATCGGTTACGAACATACCTTTTTGTCTTGAGAGGACAGAGTCTTCCAAGGTAGCCATAGATTGAATGTGACATATGTCTCATCGATATCCCGTGTTGTCGATAGCCGCCAATTGCAAGCGGAACCTCGTAATTTAACGAACCTATGTTTGTTATAGTATTATAAATGTAACAACTGTCCTCCGTGGATTTTACCATAAGCGTACGAATTTCACTCCGGCCTACGACCTAGAGTTTGTGTTTAAGCTAATTCAACGTTAAGGGCCTTTTTGTAACTGATTATTATTGAAATTAAGTAGATTCTTCGCTCGTATGAAATCTGTCAATTATTAAAGTGCCGAAGTGCAGTGGAGACAGAAAAAGAGAGCGTGTATTCCACATACTGAACGTGATGTCATCGATTTCGGTTTACCGTGATCCACAGATTTTGCACTAGATAAGTCCGTGTCCTTTCCTAAAGGGATAAAGCACTAGAGAACGTAATTAGTGTGTTATTAGATTTGTATTGTCATTTATCTGGATGGTAGAATCGTCTTCAGAACTACCTTTGTACCGAACGAGGTATGTACCATTATATTCAATTGATTTCACTCAAGGAAAACGCCAAGGCTCTATGGACGTTCGTGATAAGAACGACGAACTCACGAAAGGAACGTGTTGAAAACTACCCAATGCGTAGAGTCAACTTCTGCCGTTACCGATGTTCCGAAACTTATAAGCAACCCTATGTGAGATTGCGTGGTCGCTGTATTGAATTAGGTGTTTCACTGAGGAAGACAACAATTGTCGACTCTAGATGGCGCGCCAAATCGTCTTATACGAGAATTTTTTTTTCTCGGTAAAATGAAGATGCCTTGCGTTCTCTTGTCAAGTGATATACGCCACACTGCGGAAGTATGTGGGCGACTGGATTGCACTATTGATTTTCTATATCAACTGAACAACAGTTGCTCTATAGAAGCATATACCGACGTTTATAAGATATATATGTATATATATATATATATATATATATATATATATCAATAAAAGCTCCTCGTATTGAAGGCGCGAAACAGTCGAACCCGTTAAATGATATTGAACGCAGCAGCTTCATTCCATAGATTCACCATAGTACATCACAGGAGGCCTAGCCAATACGTCTATTAATGCGACTACAGTTTACATGCTTTTCAACATGCCCATGCCGAAAATGATGATGAACATATCGTAGTGCTATTTCTTTTCGATATCTAATGTGTGATCTTTACGTTTGTCAACCCCAGTTATCGCTACCAGGCGCAATATAGCTTGACCTTATTTTTCCTTGTTTGTTCCATCATTTTACCGCGCGATGTGTGCTACATCGTAAAAAATCATGTCTTGCAAGCTCACGACGTTGCTAAAGACTACCAACAAAATCGGGACTACCTGTATCTAGATGATCTTTGACGAGCGTGTAGGAACGGTTTCTGAGCATCCACGCGTCGGATCTTGACATCGATGCGTTTGACACTCTGCGGCTAACCACAGTTGCCACAACCCTTAAGCATTCTGCTCCAACTGCAGATCCGCTGGTCGCTTGGTGGCTGAATCACCGAGCCTCTTTTGTACTTTTGCTCGTTCAGCTCAAGCAACTTGCTGCTCCCCTCCCCTCTTTTCTATCCCACCTTCTCCCGTTCTCGTTTTCTATCACGTTCATGGCTGGAACAGTGCGGAGTACCAATTCGGCCAGTAGCAGTACTTCGAGGACAATGCTCTCGGAAGGATATGGCGCAGAAATAATAACCTAACCGAACGGGTTTTCGAAGGAATCGTCAAGCCAACAGGGGTTTAGATGTAGAAAGCAGAAAACCTTGACGACGAGCGCTTCGCATCGCACAGCGCATCCACACGCAATTTCTGCCCATTCGTAGTAGTTGAGGCGCTGTGAGAGAAGCGTTTGGTTCTCCACAAAAACGATCTACATCCGCCGTCGCCAAAAAAAGCCACGTCTTAGTCAGTCTCCTCCCCTTATGCAATCGTCGTTGTAATAGCCTTCGACGTCCTTTGAACCGTCCCATTACAGGGCAAACGGTTCAGATGAAGCTGCAGTCTGTCTTATCTTCAACTTGTACGTCATATCCGTATTTCTATAAATGTTATGAAGGTCATAAGTATACGGATGTAAAGCTCAAAGCATTGCGTCCAATTGAATGAACAGCTTAAAGAAGTGGTACGGCCTTCCGCGGTGAAATCACATTCGGTCTCTGTCTATGCTTATCTCTACTATAAAACGCTCTAGGCTACCAAATTTAGCGACAACGAAAACTGGCGCGCTATGCTGCTTTACTAGGATAATTTAAAGAGCCGAGAACGAGGCTGGTATAGGTCCTCATTTTTATTCTACCAAATTCTACTGCTCTTACCAGCAGGCACTTCGACGTTAGAAACTCCTGTGGGACTGGGTTAGCAGCAGCGACCAGAGGTGCAAAATCTTCACTTACGAGCGGTTTCAGCTCAGTCGGAACGTTCTGTCGTTCGACGAGCTGGGTCGGCCCGTTCGTGGAAAAATGGAGCAGCGATTTCAGGCTCTAACTTACAGAATCACCTGCAAACCGTAGCAACAGTAATTTTCTTAGTACCTGCTGTTAGAAGCTGGAGCTTAGCAGCAAGCGGACATCAAAGGACGGCGACTTCTATAGGATCCTACGGATAATACTCGAACACACGGCCTGTACCCCGATAATGTGTATAACATCGAAAAAGCCGGCCAGCCGACTCCAGTAGTTAAGACGGTACTCTCGCCTAGGTAAGCAAGAAGCTAACAGGAAAGGTCAAAAGAAGAGGTATATTGCGATTCGCGAGTCTCTTCTCCTGTCATGTCCTATTCCCTTATCTATTCTATCCGTACACAGACCTTCACGTAACAGTGCTGAAAATAAGATGAAACCTTTTGGCCTTTACTTTTACAGTGGTCGTAAGGAGCTGACCAAAATGGCGGGTTTGTCTCCAGTGGCTGCTGGTGGTTTAAATTGTTGAGAATTGGTTAAACCAAACGAGATGTTTCGATGATGGCTGCATTTGGGCAGGCAATAAACTGAGGACGGATTTAAATTTTAACGATTCGCTATAAAAGTCATAAAAAAAAATTCATTCTCAAATAAAAGAGCAATTAAAGGAAAAACATTAGTTAGACACCTCCTATAAATTTAATTCATAGCAAAATTGTTTCTAAAAGAGTTATCATTCTTAAAATTCTTAATTATTAAGTTAAGTGCGTGATCATTTATCATCAAATTCGGTCACGGAAAGATTATAACGGTTCAAGTTGTCAGTCCAATTAAATAGAAACTTTTTTGTGGGAACTTTTTTATTCTTATCGTGAGACAGTTTGGGTGTTATAAAATAAAAGAGAATTTACGTAAAATGAAAAAGAATTTTGGAAAAGTGTAATGGTGTTTTGTTATTTCTGATAACGATGAAGAACAACACAATGTATGGGTAAATTGGGTAAAAATTAGGATACATATATTTACTAATTATTATATTATTGAATGGCTGAATATAAGTACGCCGCTTGAGGGTATCGTGTCCTTAGACTCATTGCTATCACGCAGCTTTCATAAACTGCTTGCAGTTTCCCTTCTATGCCTTGTATGTATAGTTAATAGTCGGAACAGTCTTGCCCAAATCAGCACCAGATAGATGTTCACTGTTACTAAGCTAATAGCGACTAAAAACAATTGTGAGTTGGATTTGAAACCTGACTAAAATAACGGTGAGTTGAACGCTTCGTCCGAAACTTACAGATAATAGAGGATTTCATCCAAGACGTGTACGTTCGACGCGGCTCACGTATCGGGCCTAGTTCTGCAGGGTGGCTGCTCGCTATAACCGTGTCTATCTTCTGTATTGGAGGCATGGCAGGCGGCTTCAGCGGAGGCGTGGTCGCCAACCGCTTCGGAAGGTCAGTATTATTATTTAACATTATTAATAGTAATACTAAGGTCTGAGTGGAATATCTGGGTGTATTAGTATGGGTATAGGATGTGTGAGATGGTTAGGTTTCGAAATTGGACGCAGACCCATTTCGTTTTATTATATAGGAGGTCAACCATCGAAGGCAACTTTTAACGGCTACACCGAGTCGAAAACTCGAAACATTTATTTAGTTGGGCCAGGTTTCTGCGATAGAGTTATAGTGGTAGGTTTGCCTACTAAATTTAGAAAGACAATAGGTGATCTGGTTTCGTAACCAGGTGTAGATATATCTCAGATCGCGCTAGCGGCCAGTTGACTTCAAGCGATGTTCGACGCCAGTAGAACCAGACACATAACAAACATTTATCTAGTCGTAGAAATTGTGCGGACCATTAAGGTTAGTTACACGAAATGAGGTGGTTCAGGTTCGAAACCTGGCGTATTCACACTTTTTTTGAGCTGCCAAGGGTTGCTCTCCGCACAAATCTACTGCGCGTAGTACATAGCAATAATACCCTATTTAGCGCCTGTTTTTCCCGTTGTTTTGGCGTTGTTGTTATATCATTTCATACGAATGTTCATATATTTGACACATTGAAAGGCATACAATCGATTTTATAACTTCTTTTACAAGAATATCTAGCCAAAAGTGTTATGTATATTTCCAATAAATCTAAACCATTTTTCGAATACGTTGCCTCCCGTCTGCAAGGATGCCTTCAGAAATAGGGTAGATTCAATATATAAAAACAGATGTTTTTCATTTTTTGCTTGATAAACTGTTTACTTTCAAGTACGATACGAGCCCACAGTCATCTTAGGTGCTTGTTATTGTTGCAGTTCTTGTTTATATTGACGTTGTTGCTATTGCTGTTATTATGATAACTCATTTCAAATCGATACACCCAAACCAAAAGTAATGTATTTTTCAGTTTACATAGATAAGCAAATTCATTGGTTAGACATACGGTTGTTTATACTTTTCAGAACAAGTACCGGTCACGTCGATAGTTTTTTCTGTTTGTTCTGTTCTTCGTTTCCTGTTCTTTACCCCGATGTTATCGTGCTAATGTCAAACGCCACAAGTATGTTGTTAACGCGAGGAGCTGTTTCAACGCTGCTATACCATAAAGGCACCGTAGTGTGGGGCTGAATAGTTTTGTATATAGGCAACATTTCATTGACGGAGGATTATTATTATTAAAGCGGGTTTGTTTCGTCTAAACATGTTCTGGAGCATAGATGCGGCATCATTTAGTCGTCGAAATTGATATATCGATATACAGCAGATATAGAAGCATTGCTAACAGTAATCAGTGTGACGGCTTTGCTCAGTTTCATGCTGGTAAGGTGCGTCGAAGGGACACATGTAAAGAGCTCTGGGTTCGACCCAAGGAGTGGCCATTTGTGTATTTCTGCCTATTGAAATGATTGACTAGATATATTGCATAAGCATGGATTTAGTTAATGGGTGGCAAAAAGCTTGGCTCTTCTTGAAGAATTATCCAAAACCAAAAGAGTAATATAATGTCATACAAAACACGGAGAGCGTAACGGCTTACTCTTTTTCGTCATTGCTCTATCTTATATTATATGTTATTCTCACACAATAGAACTTGGCATACATTCCATGTAGGATAATACTGCAAGACAAAAAAAGGTAAAAATTTGTTTAGAATATTAGGTTTTTCTATTTGAAAACAATATATTACCCACCGTTGGCAATGGTTCACTAAAAAATTAAGTAATTATAAAAATTTCTGAATTGTGTGATACCGTTATTACTTACGTTGTGAACTTACCGACTTCTTTACATTGGACGGTGCGCCCCTATACTTTGAAGCTCTACGCAGTGCAGTCGCGCATGGCTCGTAGAGATACCGCCAGGAAAGACGCAAGCACAGACTTTGAGATGCAGGCAGCAAGGCTTCGTTCCTAACAATTTTACCCTTGTCATGTTTTTCGTGCTAGCATTTCCCGAAGTAGTACCAGAAACAGACCACTAAGGCTGAGGCAAGGGCAAGTTGATAACCCGCAGGTTCATGCAAGCAGGATCAACCTTAAGTGTCTGTAACACATTCATGCGCCCTCAATCTACAAGCCAAGGGCAACGGGTCACCGTCGTTGACAAAGTTGCAGGTCTGGCTTTGCCTTCGACCTTGCTTACGCTTGGCTGGAGTGGTCTGGTTCATTCATAAAAAAGCGTGCAAATAAGCGGGCAGGGGAAAACAAGTCACTCTGGAACGGATCGGGGTGCGGTGCAATGCAACAGCGACAATCCAAGCAAACGCTGCAATTTGCACTACGCCGACAACAACATAGCGTGGTACACGTTTCACGGTCCTGAACCAAAGACCACTCTACGGACGGACGAGCGCTTGATTCGTTCCAGTGTTGTGTGCCCCTTAGCCCTTCTTTTTGCTTCATAATTATGCCACGGTAATGATGTAACCGATGACGATGATCTGGCGAGACGTTCCTGTTATTTGGGTTTAACAACGATGCATGGTATATTACATGTATATAGACAGATAGCTGGGCAGACTCGAGCCCTTTAAAGAGAGACTCTGTTTCGTTGGACTAGAATTTGGCGTCGCCGACACAAAGGAAATCCTATGGAGGACGCGGGTCTGCCTGATTTTTGTCCCTGTTACAACGGCACAAATGGTCTTTCTCACTAGTGACCACTAGTACAGGCAGCTTTACTGCCACCGCAAGAAAACAGATGGTAGCAGTAGTCGCATCACATTAACAACGATTGTACGGTGTCGGCCATGTTTGTGCGAAGTGCGAACGCGGCCGTTGCCAATACGTTCGCTTCATGGAATGTTTGCTATCGCTGCACGCTTCCGACAGTTAAGAACCTAGCTAGAGGCTGTGGTGTACCTCCCTGCCCCTGAGACAAAGATTTTTCTTAAAGGGAGGTCACTCTTTATCCAGTCACCCTTCGGTTCTTACTGCCTTGGAATTCATCGCTTTCGCTACGGTTTTCTCGGATGCACTGCTGTCAGTGATGAGACGGACCCGCACGCTTTCTAAAGGCTGTTTCTGCCACATCCTATGAAACTTTTGCCATCCTTTTTTTTTTTTTTTACTAATACTGTACACTCGCTAAACATTAGCGCTTTTCTCTTCGCTGTGGGCGTTTGTGCGCGGTTCTTGGCTCAAACCCAACGTGGGCCGCTGCACTATAGTCTGTCGTAGCCTCTATGAAAAAAAGCAGTGTCCCAAACAGTAACAACTTCACAGTTTTTCTCTTTACCGTGATTGTTTTGATTCAGTTTCTCTCTCCTTCCCTTTCTGGACATTTTTGAACCGTTTCCTGCTGTGTTTTGTGTGAGGTCATACTGCGTCCTTTTGCGTTAGCTATCCAGACGTATTTCAATAAGGCTCGGCACCATTCATTACGTTCATTCTATTGAAAGCCGCTTTTCGTGTCTTGGTAGAACGTTTACCTCGGCCGTTCAGCCGTTGTATAATTAATGTATGGCACATTTTTGTGGTGTTCACATTATATCAATCTATATATTTGCCCGAACCTGGACTGAAAAACCTAAACTAATTAATATTTGAGTTAGGCTGTAAAGTGTACAAGATTTAAGATTTTATCAAAAGCGGAGGTTGTCGGGGGGACTTTTAAAAAATACGAACCATATGTATTTTTGTCGATAATCGAAATCGTTTAGAAAATATTTCTATTTCTATGAAGATTGTTTTTGTTATTATGGAAATAGTATATCAGTTTTTTTTTAGCGTTTGCAATTTATTGAAGATCAAGATATTGAATGACACGAATTTAAGTTCGATTTGATCTCGATCAATAATTACATCTTAGGACATCAGTCTTTTTATCCGTTCTCGGCACCGTAAGCGACTTGCCAAATCAATATGTTTCGTTACGTTTGGCCGTAGAGGAACGTATATTAGAAGGTGCTTAGTTCAGAATGGCACCTTCTGAAGTTGATATAAACATCTCCTTTTCAGCGTACTTCCACTGAGACTCTAACAGTCGCTGCGTATGGAGGTGTTAGACATTAATGACATCGTAGATTTTTTTGCATAGCTAGTCTGCGTCTACCTACGATATCTTAGACTGGGCCATCTTTCAGATAATAGGATCCCAGTTTCATTCGAAAACATAATGGTAGCGTAAAGTTTATACGAAATATGCCGAGCTACATAACGCTTGGGATCAAAATGCAAACAAGACGTCGGCCTAGACTTGGGTCCCAGACGCCTAGATTCGGGCACGGAGACATTGCACAGGTAACTATTTATCTTTGTGTAAAATTTTATATCGTTTAAATAGATCTTCGTGCCACACAGGGCGTAACCAGAACGCGGCAATTTTGAATGTGCCTAGTTGCCATAGTATCACTGAAAGATATAATCTGTCCAACGTTTTGCGGTTTGAAGTAAAAGAAAATGCAATCGAAAAATCCATTCTTAAGGCATACCGGACTTGTCCACTGTGAATCAATAAGGCTCTTAGCTAAGGCCCATTGATTTCTCAATGACCAAAATATATTATCGAAATTTCGAAAATTGCACACACAATTGATATCGTTCTCCGAGTGTGACCTGCGTTACAGATGGTCGAACTTTTGAAAATACCCCAGAACCTTACTAGCATGGTACAAATGACCGTGTATAGGTTACAAGTTCCAATAGAGTATCAGAAAACCTTTTGCAAACTGTTGGTGAAATGATATAGCCGCATTTTACCTATCCTGTTTTCCAAATGGTACCTCGGCAAAATTCAAATGGGGTAGAAGTTGGTCTGTACTCTGGATTACAATTTGCGAAAGCATAAAAACATAAGAGCATTTGTTCGCTGTGATTACATAACGTATCACAAGCTGATTTTTTTCTAAGCCAAACACTTAAGGGTTTAGCTTGATCTATGCGATGTGTGTTCGCGTATAGGCGACAAGATATTGCATTTTTTAAGGACAAACGTCGGGTGTGAATTTCTCCAACTTATCA